AAGGAAGAGAGTTAAGGTGTAAAATAAACACCCAACCCCTTCATGAGCCCTCCAAATGAGCCCTTCTCCAAACAACACTCAAGGATCATCTACCCAGAGAACACCTTGAAAACATCAATAAACTTAAAACCTCTGTTATCACAGCCTGTGAAGAAACCATTGGATACCAAACTAAGAAACATCAAGACTGGTTTGATGAAAATGATAATGAGATCCAACAGTTAATTGAAAAGAAAAAGAAAGCCTTCCAAATATGGCAAGACACCAACTGTGCTGCAAAGAAAAAGGTCTATGCTAGTGCAAAAGCTGAGGTCCAAAGAAGGACCAGAGAACTCAAGAACGTATGGTGGACAAAAAAGGCTCAAGAATTGCAACACTTTGCAGATGTCTGTGATGCATGGGGATTCTTTAATGCAACAAAGGTCATCTATGGCCCAACAAATCATGGCATACACCCTCTATATTCATCAGATGGAACCAAACTTCTGAAGGATAGAAGATCAACCACAGCTCCAACGTGGCCGTAAAGATTCTCTCGCAAATCCTACAACAACAAACTAGGGATGAGTTTGCAGCACTGCCTAGTTTGGAGAAAGTCAGCATAGCCACTAGACAGCAACTAAAAAATAACAAAGCCTGCGGACCTGATAGGATCCCTCTGAAATCTTTAAAGAGGGTGGACCAGAGCTGACACGGTTGGTGGAAACAAGAGAGGGGGTCTTTCCAGTGATCACTCCCCACCTCTGGAACTCCCTCTCTAAAGAACTAAAAATGCCCCCCTCTCTCCTCTCCTTTAAAAGGCTTTTAAAAGCATACTTATGCACCTTAGCTTATGGAGAGGAGGAAGACTAGTATATTCCCATATATATCCTTGTCTAGATATTGGATACCTACTGCCACCTGTTGGATGCTGTAAACCATCTCAGCTTTTAATGCCTTTTTAATCTAATTTTTAAGAGTTTACCATGTGATGTATTGTGTTATGTTTAATTAAGTTTAAATTTCAGTTATTTTTCCATTAGTTTTATAATCTTATATTGAGATTGTTTTATCTACTGTTTTGACTTTCTATTTGTTTGGTTTTGGCATTGAATATTTGCCATTTTGTTACTTTGTTGGAAAACACCGTGAGTCCCCCTCGGGGAAATAGCGTGGGTTATAAATAAAGTATTATTATCATCATCATCATCATCATCATCATCATCATCATCATCATCATTATTATTATTATTAAGTATTCAAATCCTATTCTAAATTGAAAATCTTGACTGGTATGGTGTTCTTTCTATGAAATGAGTTCATTTTTTTTTCAGTTTTATATCAGAATGTTTTATCCATAATTCTGTTAACTTCAAAGAAATTTTGATTATACCTAGTAGGTCTTAAAACTTTAACCCATGGACCATAATTCAAGGATATTTTCAGTCTTTTGCAAACGTATTATTATACAGCATTGTGCTGGTACAACTGTACCAGGAGCTCCAATTTTGATTGCTTTGCATTAAATGTTTGTTTGCAATCCAGGCTTGGGATTTTGCAGCAGGGTGGCTTCCTGCTACAGTTTGCAATCCTAGGGCAAGCCACCTGTCAGTTATAGTTAGGTTCCCTGGTCCCGCCCCTTTTTGAGTTTTGGAGGGAATAGGAGCCTTTTTGAGTTAGTTCTCACAGAGAAGCCTTTCACACAGGACATAAAACGAAGTAGCTCCTGTAGAAAGCTTCGTCTTCTACGGCTTGGCCGGGGAGATATTCAGCTTACAGCCTACAGCTTGGCCGGGGAGAAAAGGCCCCACAGCTTGGCTGAGGGACTTCAGCCGCCCATCTCAGCAACCTGAACTCCTTCTTTTTCCCCTGGAAGTCTACAAAGCTCTGCTTGGCAAGGGTCACTCGCGGAAGCCAGACGCAGTTGGTACCCCAGGGGCTCCATGCCAACAGAGGCAAGTACAGACTGCCCAGATTAGAAGTTAGGATTTCCCCATTAGTTAATTACAATTAAGAAGATAGTGCCTGTTCCCAGTGAACAAGATTGCAAGAGCCAATAGACTGTTATTAAAGCTTGAAAGTACCTGTTTGTTTTCATCAAGAAAGAACTTTGTTGGATTTACTTTAAGCCTCTACAGAACTCTGTTTGGGGGAATCTAAGGGCCTTTAATCTGAGGCAGCCCTGGCATCCCGTTGGGCACAGAGAATTTATGTCCTGTCTGCAGTCATGTGCACAGGCCCAGCGTGCGACAGCACAAGCATACTCCTGTATCTGGGTGCTTCAGACAGGTTTGAATCAGAAAAATATATATAAAAAATATATGTTGGTCCTGGGATTTCTGCCTCCATCGTCCACACTTGCTGCTTAGTTGCGGGATTTAGAAGTTCCCATGGGACTTGCAAGTTGTTTTTTTAAGAAACTCAAGAATGTGTGAAGATGGGTGGTATAAGCTGCAGGGCCATCTATACAGACAGGATGTTATTCCTGGGTTATACAGGTCTGTTCCAGATAGCTCTTATTGTGAAAAGATGTACAATGGTGACTAGGGGGTCACATCTTTGTCCTGGACATAAAGTTTCTAGCACATAAACAAAGTTTTCATGTCCTACTCAACTGCCACCTTCTTTTTAGGAACTGACCAATCAGGAACAAACATCTAAAACCTGGGAACAAACCTAGATTAAAAAAAATCACATGATTTCCAATTGCAGGAACATACAGACATTTGAAGATGTGGATTTTTGGCTCAGAACTGGGATATTCTGTCAAGTGAAAATCTTGTGGTTTTTGCCATTTATAGCTATTGCTTCGATGTTTACAGGGAATGGCATCTGGCCACCCTCCTGTTTGCTGATATAGGTACTATCTGGACGGGTCCTTTGAGGCATATAGCACAACCTGATTGTTCTGGATTTTTCCCCCACAGCCTCTAAATCCTCCTGCTATGTAGTCACGCAATGAATGCAGGACTCATAACAAACAAGGATCAGTTATCAGTTAAAGTTATCGATTATCAATAACAATCAAAAATCTAATTATTAAAGTAACAGTGCCTGGAAATGAGTAACATGAAAGATGAAATACTGTTGGTCTGGAGACTGAAAAAAGAATATTTTGGCACTTTAAAAAAAAATGGCAATGTGCTGCAACATTTATTTATTCATTCATTCATGTATTTACTTTCTTATTGTATATGCCACCTTTTCTTGGGGCAGGAGCTAAGGTAACTTCCAAGATCAATATTAAAAAAAATATTTCCCAGCCAAAGTAATTGTTTACATAGCAATTGCACCCCTAACAAATTACTCTCAAGCATGGGGATGGTACCTTATATATTGTTGGCATGATACCTAAAACATATGGGATTTGTAATGTAGGAGTACTGGCACATTGAGATTGGTGGTGAGCAGTGCATCTGAGACCATGTTAACTGTAGATGTGTACGGTATTGAGAATATTCAGAGTGAAGAGAAAATTCATGCTGCCGCTGGAAGCTGTTTATGCATCTCTAGTTCACGTTTTGTCACGTTTTGTCACTACTAAAGATGAAGCTGGGAGAAGTTGGAGGTTTGCGATACCATGACATGACCCTTTTGGAATATGTAACAATTATTTCCTGCTAGATTAAATTAGAATACAAAAATGCATAGCCTTCTGTCATGTATCATGTTCTGCAGTTGGTGATGGAAGGGTTAATGTAAGTCTCAGTTCTAAAGGATTGAGTAATCTGTAAGAGTTCATGGGTGAAAGTAATTAAGGGTGGAGACATAGGTTGCAGCTGGATGTTTCTGGATATACTGAGCTAGCCTTGGGACTGATCTTCGGGAGAAAAGTATTTGTCTTATTTTGATGGTAGATTCTGCTGGCTTTCCCCCAGGTTTGTGGATTTTTGGTATCCTGATCTGTCTCCTGTGCTCTTGGAACCCTGGAACCTTGAATCTCTGGACTGACTTTTGACTATGGTATAGACTCTTAATCCCTGGACTTTGCTCATTGAACTCTCGGTGTTTGACCACTGGACTGGACCTTTTGATTACAGTGTTATCTTGAGCCTGCAACAGTGTTTGCTGTCAGTTTTTGTTTTATATTCTGTGGCTGAGTGCTATCTTTATGTTTTGTACTATTAAAACAGCCAGAAAGTAAGTGCTGTTTTAATTAAATTGTTTAACACAAACTGGAAGTTTGTTTGGTTCACCTCTGCCAGAATAACGGCAGAGCCCTAGTATTGTGACACCTTCTAAGGATACTGGTTTGGAGGCCTATTTGCATTATCACAGTGGCCCTTAGATCAAAGGAATCTGATTGTTTATGATGAAAACAAAAGTCCAAAGCAAAAGGTAAATACACTGGTTAGAATTCACTAGGGCAGTTCACCTAGAGCATATGTGTCTAGGAAGGCCAAACCTGGTCCTCCATGTCATTTTATGTGTCCCTCCAGATGCTGGACTACCATGCCTCTATTCCTCATCATTAGAAATCATGACTACAACTGATGGGAATTGTGATACAGTAGTTTCTGGAAGACTGCAGTTGTTAAGTCTGGATAGCGCGGTTTGAATTTCGACACTAGGCTTGTAAATACAATAGCCAAATTTAAAATCTTTCTTTGACCTTTCCCCAACCTCAGAGCCACAAATGCTGTTGAGTTGCAGGTCTCATTATTCCCAGTCCATATGGCGGATAATCAAAAGTCAGTAACACCTGGGGACCTAAACTGGGTGTTCCTCTGTAGATCAGGAAACAACTGACGTTCCTTCCTACATCCACAGGTGATCTCCAGTGCAATGGAGAATTACAATAAGAATGCTGCCTCTGGGTGTCACACTGGAGATTGCTCATGGGGCAAATCCCAAATTGGGATTTGGGACAAAGGACTGACAGATACAGTGGGCCTTAGATATCTGCTCAAGCTCCCCTTGTGGATATCAAAATGTATTGATGCTCAACTTGTGTAGTAAACTGATGTCCCTTGCATCAAATGTCAATAAAGATTTCTTTTCTTTTTACAGGGTTGGGGATATCTTTAAGATATGAATGTTGAATCCATAAACGTAGTGTTAAGATAGCTAAAGAATGTATACATAACAATCTTAGGGAATTCCAACCACAGTTTTAAAATGAGATAGTGTAAAGGCAACCTGTGTACTTTACAGACATTTAGCTCTAGATATACATAAAACAGTAAAGGCATCATATTCCTGGGATTCTCCAGAAGATAGGAAATGCTAGAATGGGTCAACAACATCCTTATAACTTGACTGGGGTTTCAATAGCACACCAGGACAATACACACTAACCCAGGAGTGGAAAATGGAAGACATTTTCTTACAGAAAAACTCAACCCTGTGTATAAGAACCAAAGCGTTGAATAAGCAGCTTGGTTTTTCCCTTTGAACTCTGGGAATTAAGCTTGCCCCAAGACTGGGACAGAAAGGGACCTCAGGGTCAGCGTGGAATGATGGAGAGCTGGTAGAAGGGTGGGATGTTGCCAAAGCCACTCTCCTGCGGGCTTATGTCAAGGTCTTGTGGAGGCACAAGGGGCTTCAACTGGAAACTCTGCAGAGTGGTGGTGAAGAAGAGGAAAAGCTCCATGCGGGCCAATGCTTCACCCAGACACATCCGTTTCCCTGAAAGAAAAAGATGAAAAACTGTCAGGAGATAAGGACAGTCACAGAAAGCTTTTTGGACAGATGCCTCCTGAGATGCAACTAGAAGTGTCCTGTTTCATAGCATTTATGGACTTTCCCTTCCAACCAGCCATGTCATTGGCTAAAATAATAATAATAATAATAATAATAATAATAATAATAATAATAAATAATAATAAACTTTATTTGTACCCCACTACCATCTCCCCAATGGGGACTTGGAGCAGCTTACATGAGGCCAAGCCCAAACAACAAATACAATAAAAAATAAAACCAAAACACAACCGAAAACGCAAACAGTAAACAGCAACATCATAATAAAATAAAACATGTAAATACATAGCAATATAAAATTACAATCACAATAACTATGCGTGGGCTACATGTAATGATTAAAAAAGAGACTAATTAAAACTAATTTAAAACTCGGGCGAGATAAAAGAGACAGATTATTTGCGGAGGAAAGCTCATTATAGCAGGGGTTGTGGAATCAGACTTTCCCACAGAAGGGAGGACAACATATTCCAATGACAAAACATTGAGGCTAAACAGTAGTGTGGGGTTGTATACCTACTCTCTAAAGGCGCAGCGGAAGAGCCAGGTTTTAAGGTCCTTTTTAAAGGTTTCTAGGGTAGGGGCTTTCCTAATTTCTCCAGGAAGTTGACTTTTTATTTTGAGTTGACTTATTTTGACTTCTAAAATATTTCTGTGTAGAAAATGCTGGCTGCTTAGCATAAAATACTTTGATGTGTGTAAAAAAGAAATGATTTGCAGAAGTTGTGTAAAGAATAGGTTGTAAACTGCAAAAATTCTCCTCAGATTCTCTTTATCAGGGTTTGATGCTTGAGAATCATGTTTTTTCTAGTTTCCAATTTTCAAAGATTTTTAGTTTTTATTTCCATCCTCAACTTTTTAAAAGTGCTATTCTTAATCCTTGTTTCATGTAATTTCTGCAAATATAATAGGTTTTCTTCTTATGTGAACTTATTGAATGTGATTTCATATATATGTAAAAAAAACTTTGAATATTATAGAAATAGACAGGAATACCTAAGATGTTCTCTCTAGGGATGTTATCACACACACAAACATAAACCTAGTTTCTATTACACTTGTAATACAGAAAGGAAACAATGCCCTTCCCATGACACAGGTGTACTTCCTAATTGCATACAGGAGAACTAAAAATATCGGGACTATACTAGTTTATTCAGATATCGATCACTGCACACATCTCATCAAATCCAATTTAGCGGGTAATTACCACTGTTCCATATGTTCTCAATTGGTAGCCTCAAAAACTTTCACATATTTACATCCAGTTTTTGAGTTTAAGTTCACTCACTTTGCTACTTGCAGAACAAAGGGAGTTATATATATGATTACCTTTGAATGTAACCTAGCATACATTGGCCAAACCCAACAGGCAGTAAAGTCCAGGATTATTGAACACAAAAGCAAGATTAGAAATCAGTCTAGAGAATCGATACTCTATAAACACTTTTATGATCAACAGCTTTGTTCAGAATCATTCAGATTACGTATTAGAAGTGGTGACACAACCTAAACACATGGATTATCTTATTAAACTCTTACAAAGAAAATCTTACTGGATGTTTAAGTTACAAACAGCATATCCTCGTGCTCTAAATTAACATACTTCATCATTATACTCAGTAACTCCTTATACTCTGTAACTCAATTACTATTGATTTTACAAGCTGCAAGTTTATGCATCGAACACATTTTGTGTAAGTTAGGAATTATTTGGGTGTACAGAGTAATTGTAATTGTAATTGTAAATTCTGTACTAATTGTATTTTATTCTGTACTATTCTATACTGTATATAACAGTTTGTTTATAATTGGCATTGTATATCTTTATGTTCGTAGGTAAATCTTGTTTCAGGTGTATTTCCTGCCAGCATCCATCATGCCTCATTAAAGAAGTGTTTCTTAAGTTTCTTAAGAAAAGAGGGGGAGAAGATAGGCAGAGATTATCTTCTGAGCTCAGAAATTACATTACAATTGAAGAAAACAGGGAAAAATATGTGAGATGGGATCTGTCAGATTCCTCTCATTGAATCAAACTGATGACATGGAGTAAGGGGCATTCCTATGGGCAGTCTCCTATTAAACAGTGACATTTATCTCCCTGAATCCTGCTTCATGGGTCTGGCATGGTAATCTTTTAGCTGAAAAGCCAGGGGAGGGTGAAATCAATGCCTCCTGTTTACTCAGGAGTAGCAGGATTGGAAGGAAAAGTCTATATCCCCAAAGTGGTGTCTATCTACCCAGATCAATGCCTCCTGTTTAGTCGGGAGTAACAGGATTGGGAGGATCTATATCCCCAAAGTGGTATCTATCTTCCCAGATGAATGCCACACACACATACCTCATGGTATATTTAAATCTATGTGAGATTGTCCAAGGAGTAGAGATTGCCTAAAGAGGCAGAAGAAACAATCAACTAATTCTATAAAAGCATGAAATGCAATGCTCAGAGTTCATGAGAAGAGTTAGTTGTTTGCTATGAGAGACTAAGGACATCTTAAAAGCAAGTATATATTTTCAAAAACACTAGCAAACAAGTATTGGATTCGTGTTTGTAAAAAAGTTCTACCTGAGGAGAAGGGCACAAAGGCATCGTTCTTCTTGAAGCGTCCATTCTCATCCAAGAAATTCTCTGGGTTGAAAATATTTGGGCTTTTAAACATTGTGGGGTCATGCAAGACAGTGGTAAGCAGTGGGTAGACCTCCAGCCCCTGGGAAAGGAAAAAGAAAGAGTTGTGAGGTCAGAACTGCAAAGATACAGCTCTTAAACACCGCATTTCACATGAACATGCCTATGTTCGCCCAGCCATTCATGGTCTATGAACTCCATTTAGATTTTTTATGAAAAGTTAGAAAAGTTGGATGGCCCTTGAGATCTCTTCCAAAGAGTAGTTGGACTTATCTGTGCTTGGTTCTGAATTTCATTAATTTGTTCTGGGATTCAAGGTTAAACCTAGGAATAGATGAGCAAACAGGCTATATGTCCAAAAGAATGGGGGTCTCGGCAACCCCTGATGGCTCATGAGTCTCAGGTAGCTCATAAGAAGATGACAGAACATACCAGATAACCTGCATTTCACCATACTCATGCCTGGGCTCCCCCTATATTTCCTGGTTACCCCCACTACTGTACCTTAGGGAGGAGGTATCCTCTGAATTCAGTGTCACGAGTAAGCCTGTGGGCCAGATCCATAGGGAGGAGATCACTGACTCTCTGTACTTCATGGATGACAGCATCTGTATATGGCATTTCACTCCGGTCATCAATGTTTGGGACACGATTACGGCCAATCACTCGATCAATTTCCTCATGCATTTTTGCTGTTAAACGTATGCATATAATTAATCCCTTGGGTAAGATTCTACCTCATATATAGCTAAAGCAGAGGCTGAATGGCCATCTGCCGGAAATGCTTTGGTTGTATTTTCCTCCATTATAGGGGATTGGACTGGGTGGCCCTTGAGATCTCTTCCAATTCTATGATTATAAATAAGGCGTAAAATATTTGAATATTTTCCCAAAGCAACCACTTGCATAGTTGCCCTGTTGGAGAGGAAACTCATAAACTACCATGTATCTTTTCAATAATTATTAATTGTCCAGTTATTTCAGAAATGGCTAACCGACACTATGGGTCATCAAACATTTTGAAGTACTTTGGGCCCTTACTCTATGCCAGGGTTTGGTTCCAAAACACCCATGAATACCCAAATCCATGAATGCTCAGATAATGTAATAGACGGTGTAGTAAAATCAAGGCCCTTATAGAAAATGGTGAACTAGTCAGGTGAGTGCTGGAAAAAAATTGGAGGATCTATGCGATGATAGGAGGCTACAAAATGGGTTGCCTACAAATTAGTGTAGTGGAGTCCTTTGGATTTTTAATGAATATTTCCAAGCCAAGATTGGTTGAGTCTGTGGATGCAAAAACCGTAGATATCAAGGCCAGACTGTATTCAGATGTATGTGGAGAAGTAACATGAACTTTGACTATAAAGGTGACCAGAAGTTGAGCATAGAGTTGTCTTGGAGAACCTTGAATTTCCTAGAGAAGTGTTCTCTCTACAAATCTCTAGGTATTTCAGTGTGACTCCATGAGCTACTTCTGGTGGAGGACCACCATAGTGTCACCTTAGAAGAACCTAAGAGCCGCCGCAAACTAGGCTCCTGCGGGAGCAAACCTTGCGAGCACGTCCTTGACGTCATGAGACTGCGCCTCTCTCTCCGCCCCTTTCTCCGTGCTAGAGAAGAAAACCACTGGTTTTTCCTTTGCTAGGGCAGCATTGCCAGCGTTCTCTCTCAGTTGAATTCTGCCAACTGAGAGAGTACGCTGGCAATGCTGCCCTAGCAAAGGAAAAACCACGCTGGCACGGAGAAAGGGGCGGAGAAAGGGGCGGGGCGAGAGGCGGAGTCTCATGACGTCAGGGACGTGCTGGCAAGGTTTGCTCCCGCAGGAGCCTAGTTTGCGACGGGTCTAAAGCTTTTAGAGATACCATATAATTTATAATTTACTAGCTGTGCCCTGCCACGCGTTGCTGTGGCCTTTAGTAAGAGTTTTGAAGTCTCTGCCTGGCCTCTCTTCCTTCCTTCCCCCGCTCTCTTTCCCTCTTTCTCTCTCTCACACTCCTTCCTTTCCCCTCTTTCTCTCTCTCTCTCTCTCTCTGGCATCCCTCCTTCCTCCCCCTTCTTTATGCTTGTGTGTAAACTTGAGTATTTTCTGTTGGTCATGGGGGTTCAGTGTGGCATGTTTGCCCCAATTCTGTCGTTGGTGGGGTTCAGGATGCTCTTTGAGTGTTGGTGAACTCTGAATCCCAGTGACTACAACTCCCAAATGTCAAGGTCTATTTCCCTCAAACTCCATCTGTGTTCATATTTGGGTGTATTGAATGCTTATGCCAAGTTTGCCAGGAGTGAATCACGGAGGAAAGGGGTGGGGTGAAGGGAGGGGGTGTGTCTTTCTGGAGGGGGAGGGAGGAGGGAAGGAGTAAGTCACGGAGGGAGGGGGGGGGTGAAGGGAGGGGGCGTGTCTTTCTGGAGGGGGAGGGAGGAGGGAAGGAGTGAGTGAGGGAAGGGGTGGGGCGAAGGGAGGGGGCGTGTCTTTCGGAGGGGGAGGGAGGAGGGAAGGAGTAGGTCACGGAGGGAAGGGGTGGGGCGAAGGGAGGGGGTGTCTTTGAAGACACGCCCCCTCCCTTCGCCCCACCCCTTCCCTCCAGGAGTGAATCATGGAGGGAAGGGGTGAGACCGGAGGGGGAGGGAAGGAGTGAGTCAGGGAGGGAAGGGGTGGGGGCAAAGGGAGGGGGTGACTTTGAAGACACGCCCCCTCCCTTCGCCCCACCCCCTCCCTCCGGGGCTTGGAGGGGGCGGGGTTTGTAGAGGAAGAAGAAGGGAGGAGGAGTGGATTTGGACAGGGCGGGAAGGGGCGGGCTTGGAGGGGGCGGGGTTTGGAGGGGGAGGGGAAAGATTGGGGAAGAAGAAGGAGGAGGTAAGATTGGGGCTTGTTGTGGCGTGTGTGGGTGTGTTGCGGGGAAGGGAGGGGGGGTGTGTTACCGGTGTGTGTGTTGCGGGGAAGGGGGGTGTTACCGGCGGGAAGGGGGCGGGGGGAAGTTGCATGGTGAATGTGTGGGCGGGAAGGGGGCAGGGGGAAGTTGCGTGATGCGTGTGTGGGCAGGAAGGGGGCGGGGGGAAGTGCGGTGATGTGTGTGCGGGAAGGGGGCGGGGGAAGTTGCGTTGCGTGGGTGGGAAGGGGACAGGGGGAAGTTGCGTGATGCGTGTGTGGGCAGGAAGGGGGCGGGGGGAAGTTGCGTGATGCGTGTGTGGGCAGGAAGGGGGCAGGGGGAAGTTGCGTTGTACGTGTGTGGGCAGTTTGCCCCAATTCTGTCATTGGTGGGGTTCAGGATGCTATTTGAGTGTTGGTGAACTGTGTATCCCAGTGACTACAACTCCCAAATGTCAAGGTCTATTTCCCCCAAACTCCATCTGTGTTTATTTTTGGCCGTATTGAATGCTTGTGCCGAGTTTGGTCCGGATCCATCATTGTGTGTGTGGGCAAAAAGGCAAGAAGGAAGGGGGGGCGGATGGAGGGAAGGCGGAAGAGCCGAGAGGGAAGAGCGAGTTTCGCCTCAGTAGCTTTCCAAGCGCGCTCTGACGGGCAGCGCCTCGGAGCGCTCTTCCCGTCGGCTGGGGCTTTTTTTCCAGGGAAGGGAAGGTTGCGGCACTCAGCGGTGGCGCTGCTGCTTCCCGAGCCTGGGCAAAGGGTGAAATTGCGTTGCGTGTGTGGTCGGGAAGGGGGCGGGGGGAACGGAGGGAGGGAAGTGCGGAGGGAGCGTTGGCCGTTCGGCCATGTGTGTGTGCGTGCTGGGGACTTTGCGCCAGTGCGCATGCTCAGTTGTTTTGCCGTTTTATCTGTGTGTGGTTGTGTTGTTTTCAATTTTGAATTGATTAGTTTGTACCGAGTGGGTTGTCCTTGGGGCATGGCAATTTTGGTGCAGTTTCGTTGGGGGTTTTTAGAGTTTTGCTGTTCTGTTGAACCAACCTAATAGATTTATATATATAGATATACCTGCCAACATGAACCAGCTGTTAATGACAACAATAACAATAATAACAACAATACCTTGCACCTCAGGATATTTCATCAAAAGCAGGAAACCAAATCTCAAGGTGGAGCTGACCGTCTCTGTTCCAGCAAAGAACAGATTAAGTGTGTTGAGCTCCAGGTTCTTGACATTAAACTCACTGGTCGGATTATTTTTTTCCTGAAAGCAGGAAAGAACAAGGTCCTATAAGATGATTTCAAGAAGAACTGCTTGCAAATTGAATAGTAAAGGACATTCTGGAATGAAAGTGGACAATCAATTTGCCCCCCTGTCCACTCCACTAAAATCTAGTTGGCCATTTATGCTTCAAATGCAAAGTGGGTGGAATATTGCATGGCATTCTGCATTGCAGTTACTGATTCATAATCTATAGAGTTTTGGATTTGTAACGGCTCTGCATTCAATAACAATGCAGGCGGTTCCAAAAGCCCTTTATCCCACAATAGTTTTGGATTTGTAACGGCTCTGTATTCAATAACAACGTGGGCTGTTCCAAACAGCACTTTATCCCAGGATCATTCACGTTTTAAAAACACGGATGTTCCTGGGGGGCTGTCTATGCCCTCCCAAGAAAGTGTGCACTTTCTGGGGTGGTGTCCAGATGTTCTGCCAGGACTAGCCCAGAATAACATCTGGGGGCCCTCCACTCTCCCCCAAAGGCCCTAAACCCCTTTGAAAAGTAAAGAAAACTTACCCGGCCTCTAGTACACTGTTGCAGCCACTCTCCCGGTGTATAGAAATGATGAGCCAGGAGAGCGGGGGGGGGGGGGGGGGGGGATCTCTCCTTCTCCCCCCTGCTCTCCTGATACATCATTTCTACATGCTGGGAGAGTAACTGAAACAGTTTACTGGAGGTCAAGTAAATTTTCTTTACTTTTCAAAAGGGTTTGGGGTTTTGGGGGGAGTGGGGTGGGTATTCCCTCAGTTTTCTAGACTAATTTAGTCCGAGAACTATGGGAATGGTGTCTGGACTGCAGTCCAGACACTAGAAATAGTGGGTTTATCCCACACCTTCCAAGAAGGCACAGAATAAATCCACTATCTAATTAATTCACTATAAACCAGAGTTTTCCTGGTTTGTAGCGAATTAATTTGGGATTGTCCAAAACATCTTCTTTATTGTGCGAGTTACTGCAATAAATGGGCTGTCTGGATGCATCCTGTGTGGTCATGATCTTGAAAATATTGTCATACTTGTTATGTTCCCCCCCAACCACATTATTTTCACAGAGATGGAGCAGACTTTCAAGAGATAGAGGTCTGTTCTTTTGGTGACAGGTTCAGGAGAATGACATTTCTGCCAGACTCATTCCATAAGGAAGTTTGTCACCATCAGAAGCATCTAATGCCTTGTCATAGCCTTGCTTGCTAGAAGGAGGGTGAGAAATGTCATCCACTTGAACCCCAATCAGCATCAGTCACAGTTCCAAATATCTGGAGTTCTGTACATTTGCTGCAGATCCTCGCTGCCTTCAAGCTCCAACAATGTACCTTTTCCATCTGGATGAGGAAGCAATCAATAAAGTCACGTGGGAAGTTGGGATCAAAGGCCTCTTGATTTTGCTTCACTCTCTTGGCAATGAAGATTCTCATATCTTCCAAGATATCATAGATCTTTGTATGAGGCCCTGGGAAGTACTTCAGGAAGTCGACATAGATGTCATAGAACTGCATGAGGAGAGAAATCATGCCTAGTGGGTTACCTGTCATATTCCTCCCTAATATCAAGAGTGTTTTACTTTGGAAGGATTTGAGTCTGAGTACAATTAAAGTCAGTGTAGATAAACTTTTGCTATACCTCTTTGAGTGAAGGAGGCATGCAAAACTCAACTTTGTTCTCAGTAGTAACATCTCAATGCTCCCCAAACATACGTGAGTCTCCCAAATTTAGCGACTGGGTTGGGTAATCTCAAACTTAAATCTGCAAACCTTTAATGATTCCAGGGATAATCATCTACAGGTGCAACTTAATGTGGCCATCAGAAAGCTTCATAAGTTACCCAATAACAACAGAAGTTTGTTGGTAGAAAAGGAATGGTCTGAGTGCAAGGAAGACATGCAAACGTGAAGAGAGAAAAAGCTAGGGAGCAAGGACCTTGCAGTAAGAAAGCAGAAGACCAAAAGATAAGAAGGAAGGTATGGAAACCATGATTTCTAGTGCAAGAGTTTTTATATTAAAATGCAACACAAGTCACAATAAACATAAGTATAACTGTAACAAGAGTGTGATGTCCCAGGTGAACATACCTTCTTTCCTGTTAGAAAGAATTGTTTTCTTCAGATTTACAATTAATCTTAATTCACTCTTCCATGACCACAGTCAAATAGATGGTTCCTAGTTGTGCCCCCACTATTTCCGAGCTCAATTCAAGGTGCTGGTTTTGACCTACAAAACCCTGTACGGTTCCGGTCCAGTGTATCTGTCCGAACGTATCTCCCTCTACGTCCCACCCCGAACTCTGAGATCATCTGGGGAGGCCCTGCTCTCGACCCCACCACTCTCACAAGTGAGGTTGGTGGGGACGAGGAGCAGGGCTTTCTCAGTGGTGGCTCCACACCTGTGGAACTCACTCCCGGGGGAAATCAGGGCAGCACCATCCCTCCTCGCTTTCAGGAGGAGGGTGAAGACGTGGTTATGGGACCAGGCCTTTGGGCACTCCGGCAATTAAATCAGACCATCAGGCGAGTAACAGCAGGATTGATGAAGTGGAACGTAAAACTAGATCTATGAGTTAGCGAATGCTGACCAGGTAAAAGGAGAAATTGGGTTTGTATTGGTTTTTATTGATTTTATTGATTTTATGTTAATAATGTATGAATTTTATTTTATTTTTTTATTTTTTTTGTTAACTGTGTTCTGATGTAATTTTGTGTATGATTGTTTTATGATGCAGGCATCGAATTGTGCCTTTGCTTTTGTAAGCCGCCCTGAGTCCCCCTCCGGGGTGAGAAGGGCGCGGTATAAGAACCCCAAATAAATAAATAAATAAATCCCTTCCCACAATCCTTTGATTGTTACTGTGGACCTTCAGGTAAAGGTTTTACTCAAATATATCAATAAGGAAATTAGATTTTTATATTTAAAATTATAATTATTTTGAATGTACCTGTTGCCTGCAATATTATCTCAGTCACTAGGTGGAGACTTCTTTAACTAGGAAAGAGGAAGCTGAAACCAAGCCTACAATATTTATTTCCCCAGAAGGTCAGAATTATGGCAGCGAAAACAAGTTGAATGTGATTCAACTTCCTTCAACAAGAACTATGATATTAAGGAAGGGAACCTGGATAGCTGCATCAGCACTTAAGTTCGAATCCAGGGAGAGCAGGTTCGAATCCAGTGAGAGCGCGGATGACCTCCCTCTGTCAGCTCCAGCTCTTGTGGGGACATGAGAGAAGCCTCCCACAAGGATGGTAAAACATCAAAACATCCGGGTGTCCCCTGGGCAATGTCCTTGCAGATGACCAATTCTCTCACACCAGAAGTGACTTGCAGTTTCTCAAGTCACTCCAGACACGACCAAAAAATAATAATTATCTAATAGGCAGAAGAAGAGGTATGTGTTACCTGGGACCAGCTTGAACTCATCTCCCGGAAGCTGTTGTTCATCATCTCCATGAGGGCTTGGAATTCCTTGTCCTCATAGTCAAAGCGGTCCCCAAAAACAATGGAGCAAATGACATTGGAGACCGCACGGCTTAAGAAGTAGGTGGGCTCAATAGGCTTTTCTAAAGCAGAAAACCAAAGAGAATAAATGAACCATCAGTCCACGGAAGTTGTCAAAGGTGCTGAGAAGAGGAACCAATACACATTGTGTCTAAATTTTGGGCAGAATAAGCTGTAACCCCCCCCCCCCTTGGCATTACATAATATGGTATTTTCACAGATCCAAATGAGTTCAGCCTGTTTTTGGCACCTCACTTACCCTTCGTCTTCCGAAATTCCTCCAGCAGGAACTGGGCTTCCTCTTTGATTCTCTCTTCAATGGATTTTTTCCCCATTCCAAAACTCCTCAAGATGGTGAGGGAGAACCGACGCATTTGCTTCCACCGTTCTCCATTGGCAAAGACCACACCTGAGGACCCCAGAAAAGAAGTCACGGGACAAGCAAAAGAAATAATGGGAAACTATTTCAAAGGCCATTGAGATGCCTCACCATATCCTTGGAAGGTCCGCTCGAGTGTAGGTAGAGTAGACCTTCCACTGAACTCTTCTGCTTTGTCGACTAAGGCCTCCTTCACAGCTTGATGCCCACATAAGACCAGAATTGGACGTGTTCCAAAATAGACAGTGAAAACAGAGCCGTATTTATCACGAAGCTGTAGGGAAAATAAACTTCTCATATCTGGTACAACCTTCTTGTAATGCTGTCCTTTGAAGTAGATGGATTTGGGGTCAAAAAGTACATTTAACAGGATACTGAGGGCCCTTCCAGACAGGCCCTTTATCCTAGGATCAGATCCCAGATTTTCTTTTTATCCCAGATTATCCAGCAGTGAGGACTCATATAATCCAATTTAAAGCAGAAAATCTGGAATCAGTTCCTGTCTGGAAGGGCCCTGAATCTTATCATATCATCACACTAGATAATGAATATGCTTTATATCCAGTTTCTGCGTCCTGCAGTTTGTAGTTTAGTGAGGCTGTTAAAGGCTCCTTCCTAAACTACAAACTCCATAATTCTGCAGGAGGCAGCAACCGGATTTAAAGTGGATTCATTCTCTAGTGGGGTGAGGTCCTTAATGAAGAGTTTTGTTTATCATTTAAGCATTGAGCCATTGGGACTGAGGGCTTCTCCAATTTTCACACATCAATTTCCTCATCCAAATCCATATATGTCTAAAGCCTCTCTCATTTCAGTCAGAAAGTAGCCCAAATGATACACTGACCAACACACATTTTGGTACCTCCAATGTTATTCCTGTTTCCGGGTATACTTGACCTGCTGATTCTAAAAATGGCATCAGTTTTCACCTATCAGCTCTAGCTTTTTAGATACAGAACATATGCCATTTATCAGTCACCATCTGCTTACCCATAGAAAACTATGATAACCATATCTACAAAACTAGAGCTGATACTGTCCACTCCAATGCAATTTTCTGAATCAGCACCTCAACTGACCCCAAGAACAGGCCCAAAAACCAAGACACCAAGAAAACCTTTTTGTTGGAGTGTTTTATCACAAAGAGTTCTCTAAGCAATTTCCAGAATGGCATTTTTCAAATAGGATGGCACAAAGGAATTATTTTCATAAGTAAATCCAGCAATGGGGGAAAATAAAACAATCAATAATAAATATAATAATAATAATAATAATAATAATAATAATAATAATAATACTTTATTTATATCCCGCCACCATCTCCCCAAAGGAGCATTTAGTCACCAAAAAATACAATCCAGAAGTTTAAAAAAATGGAGACTGCGTGTACATCCATTCCCCCTGCCAGCTCCGTCTACACTAACGTTACTCAACCTTCCTAATGCCACAACCCCTTAATACAGTTCCTTATGTTGTGTTGACTCCCAACAATAACATTATTTTCATTTTGCTACTGTTATGAATTGTCATGTAAATATCTGATAAGCAGGATGTATCTTATTCAATGGATGAAATTTAGCACAAATACCCGATACGCCCAAATACTGGTGAGGTTGGGGCAAGAAACTTATTTTGTCACTTGGGAGTTGTAACTGCTGGGATTTATAGTTCACCTACTATAAACATTCTGAACTCCACCAAAGATGGAATTGAACCAAACTTGGCACACAGAACTCCCATGACCAACATAAAATCCTGGAAGGGTTTGGTGGGCATTGACCTTGAGTTTTGGAGTTGCAGTTCACCTACATCGAGAGAGCACTCAAACAATGATGGATCTAGACCAAACTTGGCATGAATACTCAACATGCCCAAACGTGAACACTGTTGGAGTTTAGGGGAAATAGAACTTGACATTTGGGAGCCGTAGTTCCTGGGATTTATAGTTCACCTACAATCAAAGAGCATTCTGAATCCCACCAATGATAGAATTGGGGCAAACTTCCCACACAGAACCCCCATGTCTTGAAGATACTCGCTGGCGTGCTTCACATGCTCTCCCTTGCCTGCAGATGCACATTACGCTGCCATGAGCTGAGCATGGCTGCTCTCCCCTCCCTGCTTGGAGTCTCAGAAACAGCCCTCCCCTTGGCTGAGAGGCCAACTAATAACAGCGGAGGAGGGCTTTTGGCGGGAGGATTCACCATCTGTTTCCAAAAAAGAAAAGAAGGACAGGGATCTTCAACCTTCTCTACCAAAGAGGCTTGAAAGACCGTATATGTTTTCTGATGGTCTTTGGTGAGCGCTCTGAAACACCCTCACAACTCCCCCCCCCCCCGGGGTCCCGACCCCAGGTTAAGAAATGCTGGTCTGGAATATACCTCTCTAGGAAGCGAAATTTTCCTTTGAGGTAGCTATGATAACCTGATGCAATAAAAACAAAATTCTTGAAGCACCTTAACGACAAACGTGTTTAATGTGACATAAGCTTTCATGGAGTACAGCCCAATTTTAGAAGTTTTGATATTTTTCAGTCTAAAATCGCTTAGCCAAGGTATTGGCTTGGAAATAAACCTTATCCATGCACAAAGTTCCAAACATCTGCATTCAAAACCCAAACGGGCTAGAGAGATTAATGAGGGTTCCAAGTATCTTCTTAAGCAGTTATATTGTTGAAAGCTCAATTTATGACCTCATAATTGTTTCCACTTCACAGTGATCATGATATCATTATCATGACCACAAATGCCCCCCAAACCCACCTTAAAAGGCAAGGAGCTATACAGAGGTGGCCCTAGGTAATTTTCAACGGTAAGCAAACAGTATTTTGGTGCCCCCCCCCCCCAAACCAATCACTATATATTTCCTGTTTGTCGTGGAAGTWCTGTGTGCCATATTTGGTTCAATTCCATCATTGGTGGAGTTCAGAATRTTCTTTGATTATAGGTGAACTATACATCTCAGTAACTACAACTTGCATATGTCAAGGTCTATTTCCCCTCAAAAGTGCCTCAAGAGCACCCCTGGGCAAAATCAACTATACTGCAGATGCTTACTTTGCGTAATGGGTTGAGCCGCCCCTGGAGCTATATCAAGCCAGGGACTTTTGTGGTGCTGGTGAGCTTCCAACATCTTCCCACTATCCAGCCCTAGTGCAAGATGCAGCATGACCCTGATGAATGTCATACTGTTTGTAAATGTTTATGACACATATCTGATTTTAGGAGTCCTGGTGGAGCACTAGGTTAAACACTTGTGCCAGCAGGACTGAAAGTTTGACAGATCACAGGTTAGAATCCGGGGAAAGCATGGATGAGCTCCCACTGTCAGCTCCAGCTCTCCRTGTGGGGAAATGAGAGAAGCCCCCCACAAGGATGGTAAAACTGCAAAACATCCGGGCATCCCCTGGGCAGCATCCTTGCAGACAGCCAATTCTCTCACACCAGAAGCAACTTGCAGTTTCTCAAGTYGCTCCTGACATAGAAAAAAATGTGATTTTAAAAAATTGTTTACAAATAGCCAGACATCTTTGAATGCAAAATTAGCAAGTATTTTCACAATAAAAGCAATTCTGCACAGCCATCCTCTCCACTTTGGCATCTGGAAACAATATTGGTTTTTTTGGATGAAAATTCTACTTTTGTATGAAAAACACTTTGCTCTCTTTCCCCAAAAAATCCTGTTTCAAAACTCACATTTTTGAATGCAGAATAAGTGTTTTTTTTCACCAAACCACAAAAAATCTGCATAGGTTTCTGAACACTTTGTATTTTGTACACATTTTTCCCAATTCTGTACACATTTTCCCATCTATATGAGAATAGTATACAAAATTGTTGAAACTTTGATGCAAACTTCCCACATTTGAATTTTTTAAATTCACACATATTTTTGCACACAATAACTTCCCAAAACACTACAGAATGCATAAATACTGGTAAGCATTTCATCTAGTTTCTGTCTTCCTCAATGAAGAGAAAATTGTAGAAATCACTTGATCTCGTAGGTGAGGTCAAAATAGTCAAATATTTACATCCTCCATGTGTTGCTGCATTCACATTAGACTTCAATGTATTTCACAGGGACTTCCAGATAGGAAATCATATATGGTGCATCTACTGTGTAGATTTAATGCAGTTCAATATCACTTTAACTACCATGGCATGATGCTATGGGACTCTGGTATTTGTAGTTCAGTTTAGTGAGACATCAACTCTTGGCAGGGAAGGATAAAGACCTCATAAAACGACAACTGCTGTGATCCCATAGCACTGAACTATGACAGTTAAAGTTATATCAAACCCACAAAACGTCCATAAATGTCCATACCTTGAGAAGAGATTGTAAGGTTTTAGATGACTTAATCTGTAGGAAATTCCCGATCAGGGGCAGGGGAGTAGGTCCTGGAGGAAGTCTCCTCTTCTGAGAAAGTTGTCTCTTCGCTGACAGGAGAAGAAGGTATGAAACATAGACAATGAGGAGGACAGTGATTGCCCCAGTCCAATCCATGGTGCAGGCACCTATTCCAACTGGATGGGGCTCTGTAGCCTTTTATTCAACTCTTTTGGGCACCGCCTTCTGTATTACATAAGTATACAGAGCAAACATGTTAAATCACAATCTCTGGAATTGGAATCTAATGTAACTATCCTTGCATGGCAAAGAGGTGGAATGATCAATGGCTCTTGTGGTCCCTTCCAACTCTATGATTCCATGGTTCTATAATAGTTTCTTTCCTCGTGCCTCAGTGTTGTGGATATTTGGTCTGAAAAACATATGTTTTAAAATGTTTTCATTTCGACAGATATTCTAAAACGTCTTAAGCTTTTTTTAATCAATTGTAAAACATATCGGGTGTTATTTATATGTCAGCCCCTCATAAACACAAGTTCTGCATTTGTGGATTCAATCAACCATGGTTCAAAAATATTTGTTTTTGAATGCCTGGGCAGCAACAAAAGCTAGAGGTGGATGGCTTTCTAAGACGTAATTGGTGCTTCCCCCTTCTCTGTGAAATGACACTCACCTTATCCATAGTTCATATCAAAAATTTATAGTTTTGGCCCCCAAACCTGCTCTTGACTTAGACATGGGGTCAACTTAGACACAAATATGTACTGTAATTGTGAGGATAAGACCTAGGAATTATTCTCTGACTGTCTATAGTGTGCTCAATGTCAGAGCACACTATAAAAAAGTGTCTTTAGCTACATGACTGTCCAGATCATGACTGTAGGAACTCAACCTCCTTCTAAACTTTCAGCCTCCCAATGCCTGTTGTTTTATAACTCCTCAAAGAGTAAGTTTTTGAACTTAGTATTTTACATCCTCTTGACAAACTGATGGCTCCTGATTGGTGTTAACTTCAAGGGGATCTTCTCAAAAGCACTAGGCTAAATCCAAAGTTAGTCTCAACTGAAGTAAAGACATGGAAATGAAGTAGACTTGTTAACTACCATAAATGCGAGTCCCATTTATTTCAATTGGTCCTCTCTAATTAGAACCAATATTGAAGTTGGGGCTGTTGACAGCTGGACTTCTTGGAGATCTCTTGTTCATAAAGTCATAACAGGTTGAGACAATCAGATGGCAAACAACAATAAACGTATGTCAAATATAAAGCTGTGTGTTTGACTTGGCAAATCTTAACAGTGTATATACCACTCTTCTGGAAAAGCATTGCATTTACACTGCCTGATGAGAAAGTCCTCGCTATCACATTTTTATATTCATTTGTTTGCCTATTAATAACAACACTAAGGGTTATAGTCAAGAGAGTGGTGAATATGCACATCAGAACTATGAAACTATGCTCATTTCTGAAAACTAATCTGGGTTTTAGTGGAAATCAATGCAAATTAACCTTGCTGCCTTGATGTTTATTGGTTCAAAGTTTGGCTGTCACTTAGTGATCTTTGGCTTGGCCATTTTCATTGTGTAATCATAACAACAACAACAACAACAACAACAACAACTTTGTTTTTATACCCCACCTCCATCTCCTTGAAGGGACTCGGGGCGGCTTACATGGGGCCAAGTCCAACAGAACAGTATTATTATTTCATATCAAAAGCATTGCATGAATTAGTATAAAACTGATAGAAATAGAAGGAGCGCAGAAGGATAAATATCTTTTGACCAAAAAGGGGCAACAGCAATGGCATTGTATGTAGCCTCTAACAGTTCTTCCTCTGTACATAAGGCAGGGCATAGTGGGCAAGCATAGAGATGAAAACATTTGATGAATACATGCGAAAACAGAACAGTTAAAACATAACACATTAAAATGTATATCAACAAAATGATAACAAAAAAACAATAAAACAAAATAAAACAATAACATTAAACAGTATATAAAACAACCATCAAAACCAACAACCAATAATAATCAATGTCTCATCGTGGGTGGGCGGACTGGTGCCAACACATTAGAGAATAGAGCTAATGAATAAAGTGCAAATATCATACAGCAGCGATGAGAATAAGAACGATTTACCATTAAGGATTTGGATATAACAATCGTAAAGTGCTTGAGGACAAGATTTTTGGGTCCTAATGGGGGCCAGCTGTCCAGGGAATTGCCTAGTCAAAAGCACAGCGGAACATCCACATCTTTAAGTCTTTGTGGAAGATGGACAGGGAGGGTGCTAGCCTGATCTCCCTGGGGAGGGAGTTCCAGAGCCAGGGGGAGTGGTCACGATTGAGAAGACCCATTCTCTTGTCCCCATCAGCCATGCCTGAGATGGATGTGGAAGCGAGAGAAGAGCCTCCCCAGAGTATGTGGGTTCATAGGGGAAGATGTGGTTGCGAAGATAGGCAGGTCCAGCACCGTTTAGAGCTTTATAGGTGATGATCTGCAACTTGCATTGAGACCGGAAACTTATCAGCAGCCAGTGGAGCTGTTTAAACAGGAGGGTTGACCACTCCCTCTAGTTTGCTCTAGTTAACGATCTGGCCGCCGACTTTTACACCAGTTTCTGGGCCATCTTCAGGGGCAGCCCCATACAGAGTGTACTACAGTAGTCCAGCCTTGAGGTAACTAAGCCATGGATCACCATGGTCAAGTTAGACTTCTCAAAGTATGGTCGCAGCTAGCGCACAAGTTTTATCTGTACGAAAGCCCTCCCAGCCACTGCTAACACCTGAGCATCAAGCGCTGAGTGTAGGAGGACTCCCAGACTGCGAACCTGTGTCTTCAGGGGTAGTGTAAGACCGTTGAGCACAGGTTGCCACCCCTGTACCCCGATCGGTCAAACAACTGACCTGGAGTTGTCTTGTCAGGATTTAACTTCAGCTTGTTGGCCCTCATCCAGCCCATCACAGCAGCCAGACACTGGTCCAGAATCCGAGGGGCTTCCTTGGAATTCAGTGGAAAGGAATAACAGAGTTGTGTGTCATCTGCGTAGAGATCGTACCAATCTCCAAAACTCCAGATGACCTTGCCCAATGGTTTCATGTAGATGTTAAAAAGCATGAGGGAAAGAATAGAACCTTGCAGGACTCCACAAGTCAAAGGCCAGGGATCCAAGAAGGTCTCCCCAGCTTCACCAACTGGGTGCGGCCCTCCAGGAAGGAGTGGAGCCATTGTAAAGCAGTGCCCCCAAGGCCCATTCTGGAGAACTGCCCCAGAAGGATACCATAATCAATGGTATCGAAAGCCACTGAGATATCCAAGAGAATCAACAAGGACACACTCCCCCTGTCACATTTTCTGTGGAGGTCATCTATCAAGGCGGCCAGAGCCATCTCGGTGCCGTGACCAGGCCTGAACCCAGACTTCAATGGGCCCAGATAATCAGTTTCGTTCAAGAACCCCTGGAGCTGGGAAGCAACAATTCACTCCGCAACCTTGCCCAGAAAAGAAAGATTTTAAATTGGCCAATACATTTTCCACTCATCTTTATTCCTTTCATAATCGGTGGCTGTATTGCATAAGCCCTTCTTAGTTTAATCAGTTATGAAATCTACTATCAAGTGACATCTGAATTACTCTGGCTTGAGAGCAGAAAGCAAACTACCTAGGAGAAAGTATTGCCTATTGGTTGTGGTTACTCTGCTTTTATTAGCACAGCCAAACTCATCTGTCAACAAAAGAGCCTCACTTAGCATGCCAAAAAACAGAGGTGGTTTTTTGTGTTGCCGCCTTTCTTTTCTTTGTTTTCTTCTGGTTATAAAAGAGGAACCTGGCTCTGGTTTTATGTCCTCAAGTCATTTCTCATTTTGATCATTATATCAGTTATCAAGCAGTCAGCTGGTACCAGCCCCAAGCAAAAACCAAGCACAAAACAGTGGCTGGATTTCAATATATTCTTTCTGCAACTGGCATATTGGCAAAGCATGGCAAGGCAGGAAGAAGAAATGTAAACAGGTAGATGTACAAATGGTAGAAAATAACACCTGCACCATTCCGTTCTCTTGAAAGGGCGACCAAAATAAAGATGTTCAGGAGGCCTTTATCATACTAAAAGAAGAAAGACATAACATGACATAACATAACACAACAATAACAACAACAACAATAATAATCTTTATTTATTTCCCACCACCACCTCCCTGAAGGGACTCAGGCTTACAAGGCACTCCAGGATGCACATATAACATACGACAGGTAAAAATGGTACAAAAGTATAAAACAAGTCACATAAAATTTTAACAACATCCCCCATCAACACATGTAACATAAAATCAAAATAATACAATTTTAAAACAACAGTAGATAAAACTAAGTGCCGTCAATTCACAAGGTGGCAAGTGTCAGCTTCATTTGGGTCCATTCAGCCTACTCAAGATCAAAGGCCTGTCTGAACATCCATGTTTTCAGGTTGGAATAGAAGGATTGAAGGGTGGGGGCTAATCTAATCTCTTTTAGGAATTCCAGAGCAGGGGGGGCACCACAGAGAAGGCCCTCTCTCTCGTCCTCACCAACTGTGCTTGAGACAGTGGTAGGATTGAGAGAAGGGCTTCACCTGTTGATTTCAGAGCCCACACAGGTTCATAGAAATAGATGCAGTCTCGAAGATAGGTTGGACCTGAAGCGTATAGGGCTTTATAGATATTAACCTGCACCTTGAATTGAGCCTGGAAACTTGTCGGAAGCCAGTGGAGCTACTTCAGCAGGGGCATGGGATGTTCCCTGTAGCTAGCTCCAGTTAGTAATCTGGCCACCGACCTTTGCACTAGCTGCAGTTTCCAAGCCATCTTCAAAAGTAGCCCCACATAGAGTGCATTACAGTAGTCCATTCTGGATGTAACTAAGGCGTGGACCACCATGGCCAAGTCAGGCTTCTTGAGATACAGTTGCAAGTTTTAACTGTGTGAAGGCCCTCCCAGCTACTGAAGACACCTGAGCATCAAGCATCAGCGCTGAGTCTAGGAGGAGCCCCAGAATGCGGACCTGTGTCCTCAGGGGGAGTGTAACCCTGTTGAGTAGAGGTTGCCACCCTATATCCCAATTGGCCTCACAACTGACCAGGAGGACCTCTGTCTTGTCTGGATTAAGTCAGAGCTGA